CACAGCTTGATTTGTAGATTTCATATATATGTTTATGTACAGTATTCCTTACTCTGTTTGAAACTTCAGTTAAAGATAATTCTCAAAGTATTGTTTCTTCATTGTATTATGGGGTATGAGAATTCCTTGGGTCTCCCTTATCCTGCTGTTTGAGAGAAAATTAAATTTGTGCACTGAACACTGGTTTTTTTTCATCAAACATCATTTCTTTCTCTTTTCTGTTAAATTAAAAGCCCTCAACTTTTGAAAGAGATATGTTCTTTAAGTACTATTTTATATTTATCATTTGTTTAAATATTAAATTTTTACATAACTGTTGTTTTAAAATGATAGGCAGATCATCTGTCTTTTCTAATTGGCCTTCTAAGCCTAATTCAAGTAAAAGAGACTTATGTACCAGCTTAACAAGTACCTTAGGAATAAAGCCATGAACATTAAATAGGGACCCATTTTACTTATTTATTTCTATCTGTCTGTCTACCTACCTTATTGCTTAGCAATATAGCCCTAAGAAATTTTTTAACTTCAAGTATTGTCAAGACTTTAGAGGCTACGTTCCAGGCAAGAATAGGTCAGTGACTAAAGAAATATAGTATAAATCTGGTTTTCTCTAGAAAGAAATTAGGAAACTCCTAGTATTGCAGATGTTTTGGAACATGGCAAATTTTTAAATAGTCTAGAGCTGGCCTGTGGTTCTGCTTTTCTTCCTTGATATCTCCTCTCCCCTGATGCTTTCCTAGATGCCTCTTTTCTCAGGGTCTGAATAAAACTAGGCCAACAGAGCCTGGTTTTACTCAGAATAAATCCCAGAAACTAGAGCTGAAGAATGGACTTGTATTGTAAGGATCCTCCCCAAATTATTGGAAAAAGTACAGTTTATTATTAGGGAGATAAAGATAGGACTCATAGTGTTGCACTTATGATGGCCTTTAGAGTCTTTCCAATTTAAGATTCTAGACACTAAATGGTAGTGGACTTTTAAACTGTCACTCATGATGACACTGGATGGGTGGGCTGGGAAATAGGTGAGAATAATTGAGGAGGGAGATACTTTCATTCCTTGTTCTGTCTCACCAACAGTAAAATACCAAAACTTTAAGTATAACTAACTGGGTGTGTGCTATTTGTGACCTTCAGATTTTAGTGATGGGAATTTTACATACACCATCCTATCTAATAATAGAGAAACATGGTAGTTAGCCGTATGACCGCTACCCTTCCCATTGGTTAATCAGGGTGATGTGCAAATTAACTCCCAACCAAGATGGTGGCCGGCAGCTAGGCAGCTTGAAGCGAACAGGAGGCTTGCTTGCTTCAGTGACAGAGGAAGCCAGTGATGTTCCCCACACGCCGCTGCCAGCCTCTGAGCTTGCAGTTTAAGAACCATTGTTACAAATATAGAAGCTAAACAAAACCCCAGGAACCTGCTTTCAGCCAACAGGACCACAACATTGTTTCAATTATAGAACAAATGCAGATCCCTGCTTTCAGCCAGCCAGGATCTCAGAGCTGGAGTGAGCAGGACCGCAACAGTGTTACAATTATAGAACCCAAACAAACCAGATACCTGCTTTCAGCAGCAGAGGCCTCAGAGCTAGAGCCAAGCCTCAGAGCTAAAGCTGGCCCAGAATAAAAACAAGAAAAAAAGGACAGGTTGGGAGCTTCAGTCACCTGCCAGCCTGAAAACGGCCCTCAGCCCCTCATCCAGACTAGCCAGGCACCCCAGTGGGGACCCACACCCTGAAGGGGGTGTGACCAGCTGCAAACAGCCATCATCCTCTCATCCAGGCTGGCCAGGCAACCCAGTGGGGACCCCCACCCTGACCCAGGACACCCTTCAGACCAACCAGCTGGCCCCCACCCGTGTACCAGGCCTCTATCCTATATAGTAAAAGGGTAATGTGCCTCCCAGCACCGGGATCAGTGTGATGGGGCGGGGCCACAACCCTATCCGCCCTGCTCTGTTCGTGACGGGTGATAGAGGATGGCGCCCCAACCCCCTGATCCTTCCTGCTCTGAGTGTGATGGGGCGGTGCCCCAACTCGCCTATCGGCCCTACTCTGTGAGTGACAGGGGAGCTCCTCAACCTCCTGATGGGCCCTACTCTGTGAGTGACGGGGGAGCTCCTCAACTCCCTGATCGGCCCTGCTCTGTGCGTGATGGGAGAGCTTCCCAATCCCCTGATCAGCCCTGCTCTGTGGGTGACAGGGTACGGAGCCCCAACCCCCCTGATGGGCTCTGCTCTGTGTGTGACAGTAGCGCCCCAACTCCCTGATTGGCCTTGCTCTGTGCATGACAGGGTATGGAGTCCCAACCCCCCTGATGGGCCCTCTTCTGTGCGTGACAGGGGGCAGCACCCCAACCACCTGATCGGCTGCCTCTGTATGTGACAGGGGTGGCACCACAACCCCATGATCCGCCCTGCTCTGTGCACAAGGGGCGGCGCCCCAACCCCCCAAGCGGCCCTACCCTGAGCGTGACTGAGGGTGGCATCACAACCTCCCGATCCGCCCTGCTCTGAGCCTGACCAGGGGCTGCACCTAGGGATTGGACCTGCCCTCTGCCACCTGCGAGCGGGCCTAAGCCAGCAGGTTGTTATCTCCCAAGGGGTCCCAGACTGCGAGAGGGCACAGGGCGGGCTGAGGGACCCCTCCCCCAGAGTGCACAAATTTTTA